CATCTGCTTCCAGCTCTTTTAGCTTTACTTTCAATGTAATATGATGAAATAAACTATTATGGATTTTACACCATTGTCACAATGTCCGAACTGATGATACTAGAATGTTAATAATACTGACAGAGGATGAGGTAGCATGATGTCATAAATTAATTCTCACCTTATTTCCTGTAATTGGTCGTGATCATTACAAATGATTTCATTTTGCTAGTGTTTGCTTCCTGTATTCTATAACCATATTACTAAAATGTTATCAAGATTTAAAGTTTATGATTAAAATAGAGAAAAATGTTAATTTTAAACATATAGGTTTTAAACTAATGACTATATTACTAACTACACTGTCATACTTACTACTAAAATATATTTACATCTATGAGTAGCATAGTCCTTATAAAAAGATTAAATATTTTCTTACAAAGAAGGGCACGTGTAGGTAAATAAACATAAATTATAGAATTTAATTGAAATTCAGTTAATCATTGTTTTTCTTCAATTTTTTTTTTCATATGGGAGGTAATGTCTTTTGTCTTAGTAAAAATGTCTTTTCTCTCCTTTACTCCCTCCACCTTTCCATCTGATAATGTGGCAAAGGGCGGCCTTTTGAAAACAAATGAGGAAAATACTACCATAAAAGCATATTTTCCTGATTTCCATCAACCATACATACCTAGCAGTCAATTTTCTTGGTAGAATGTTTGGTGACTAATAAAGGGGAGACAGGTTAAAAAGGCGAAGACATGGCTCCTGTCCTTAAGCACCATATAGACCAGCAGGGACCTGGACACAGAAACACTTTTCATGCTATGATGATTTCTTTTAGGGCTATGCAAAGTAGGTGAAAGCCTAGGAGGTCTATTTAACTTGTCGTTGGTGTCAAGTAAGGTGTTATAGAGGCTGACATACCTGAATTTAAGCTCCGTTCACATCCCTTCCTCTGCTAACTGGCTAAACCTACCTATCAGTATCTTCTAGTATGTCTGTATTAGGGTTCTCCAGAGAAACAGAACCAATGGAGTGTGTATGTGTGTATGCACACATACACACATGGGAAAGGAACCTGAGTTTTGGGGAAGATATTTTTAAGGTTCAATCAACAAAAATTGGTCAATATCAGGGAAGGAGAAATTGGAGCAGAGGCAAAGTTAAGAGAAAATTAATATGTAGAAGTTATGAAGTAAAGGGAAGAATTCATTATGACTCTGAAGTTTCTAGGTTGCAAGATGGAGTAATCAGATCAGGCATGAAAGTTGAGTTGTGTATGTGCTGCATTTGAGATGCCTGGGGAGCAATTGGGAGTGCAGATGTGTAGAGTGGAGAAGAAGCCCAGGTGAGGGGAAATGTGTGTTCCCCAGCCTGAAGCCTGCGATGCAACCAGGTGACGAGAGGAGACCATCTGAGAACATGCAATGTTATAAGAAGCCCTAAGAGTGTCCACATTCCTTGCCCTATAAATATATTTGATTGTCTGATTAGTTGAATTAATGATGGGCCCTACAAGAAGCAAAAGAAATGGGAATGTGTTATTGAGATATCTATAAGATTCCACTGAGGTTCTCAAAAGCAAATTGTCATATGTTAAGGCAGATTACTAAAATGGAATTCTTTGTGTATAACTGCATGACTAAGCAAGTGAACTTATCTATTTGATCATTGGTTCTCATTTCTGGATAACCCACTACATCCACTCTTCCTCACTATATAAGGAAATCTCTACATAGCAGCCATAGAGATTTTTTTTTGTCACCTAAATATTATGTCAATCTCTGTGCAAAATCTTACCTCTTTCCTTGGCCCCTGCCAACCTCTCTTACCTCTTCTATGTCCCCTGCCTTCACCCACTAGGCTCCAGCCAGGGAGCCTTCCTTGTGTTCTTGCCTTAGGGCCTGTGTATATGGTAGTTACTCAATAAATATTTATTTATTAAATTAATGAATGACTCTGCCTTGTAGATTCATTGTGAGATATAAATCTTAAAAAGTATATGAAGGGCCTAGCAATATGCCTGGTGCATTAGAGGTGTGCAATACATTTCACTTTTACTATTTTGCCCTTGTGTTTTTCTCAATCTATAACCCCAATGTTTCTCTGTTCTCTTTGTTCCAATCTACCTTCTGAACACTCCCATCCAGCCAATTTACTGTTTTTGGCTTCTTTGTTCCTGTAGGCTTCAGGCCATGTGTGTTGACATTTCTCTTCTCTTCAGTTGGCACTGACTTCATCCATTTCCCCGGGATTCCTCATGCATGTCTTATCCTGAGTAACCCCGCTTCTTATTGCACTTAAATAACTATATATGGATTCCTGCTCCCAAGTACCTTGCTCACATAATAGCCTTCCTGCTGGAAATTCCCAGGAGAATGAGAATCCTCTGGGGACTTGTTCACAGACTCACCAGGGGACTCTTACTCATAACGTACTATCACGATCACACCATTATTACTTGGGTTTGGAATCAGTGCTCCATAAATTGTAGCCAATGCTGGTGGAACATCAGCTCTGGATCAGGCAATGTTCTAAGCAGTTTACTTATATTGCCTCACTTTATGAGTTGGGTTTCATTAGTATTCCTGTTCTATGCTTACTAACTTGCCTAAAGTCACACAGCTACTGATTTGCAAGTTAGCATTTAAGCCCAGGTGATCTAATTTCAGATCTCTGCCCTTAACTCTGCTTTTATATTCAGTTGTGCCTCAGTAGCAGTTTCAACTTTTATTCTTTATTGTTTGATTATAGATTTAAAAAATAATATGCAGTTATAGTTTTAAAAAATTCAAACAATTCCTTCCTACTATTTATATTCTACCACTTCAAGTTTCATTTTCCTTAAGGCAATTACTATAAGAATATTTTCAGAACTTTTTTCATCTAAGATTTTTTTTTAGAACTTCTTAGTGTGTTTGTGATCTTCCTTTCAGCTGTTTGTCTTCTGAAAAGCCAGTTTATTCCTAGTTAGTTGGTGAAAGTTTTAAATACAAATGGTCCAAACACAAATCAATCTCTCTCTCTGTCTACACACACACACACACACACACACACACACACACAATCAGAGTTGTATACAACTCTGTATTATATTATTGTTTTTAAGTATAACTTGGTTTGACTTTAAAAGAAAAGAGTTCCACTTATGTCCAAGGCAGACTTCTGAAATTAATTAAATTCTTATTGTTTGGGACCCATTTACATGAATTTTTGCCTGAAGGAGACCTACTTTTACATGAAAACTCCAGGCTGATGAATTCTTTAAGTTGCCAGGACCAAAACTGTTATTTGACAATTCATCTCTGTCTGTATCACCTTGATGCTCAGAGACAAATGAACCAACAGCCATTCCTGGCTAAGAAAATGGGTTTTTGAGGCACCTTTTAATGTGTGCCTCTATGGACTTGAGAAACAAATGTTTTCTGAACAATGTGAAGAGAGTTTTGTTTCTAGATCCGTACATTTTCTGTATTCCTCCCTTCCTGAAGAAGAGCTCTGTGATTTTTAATCGGCAATGCAAAAATGCCTCTATGGAAATGGCTGTACTTTTCAGCATGCAGCGGAACATTTTCCTAAAAAGTGAGGTCACCAGAAGCACAGAGCAGAGAAATCCCAGATGGCACTAATATTTGATTTCATTTTTAGCACGCTCATATTCAGCAGATGGATTGGAAGGCTGACCTCTCTGACACTTCTGCATCACTGCCTGCTACTCCAATTGCCTTTGAGAATGTTTTTTCATAAGGCTTCTCCTGGTACCCCAGAGATTGATGCCTGGCCGCCCGCCTGTGTTATGCTTCATTACTCCAGGGTTTTGTGTGGCGGAGAGTTGCTGTATTTTATAAAAAGGGAAACCCTAGATCATCAGTATCTCACACTTTTCCTGCAATCTTTTGAATTGTGTGTAACATCTTAAGAGTGCATCATCTTAGCTTTCTAGGTGTACCTGTGTCCATTTTTGACTTTTCCTATTCTCATTTTTCTGCTTTCTTCTGTGACATGGTTAAATCAAGAATAATGTAAAAAAAAATTCCTCTAGAAATGGCTAATTTAACTGTTTCCAACATACCTACTAAATATAAAAATCTAATTATCTTAATGTGATTATTGCTGATTTCTTCCCCGAAATCTAGCGTCAGAGCTAAGAGCACAGACCTGGGTTGGATTCTGCCATTTCCTTTAACAGTAAGCTTTATTTTAGAGTGAGCCGCAGATTCCTTGTATGTGAACTAGCAATATTGTTAGTGCCAGTGAGGATTGATGCGAAGATTAAATGAGGTAACAAATGTCACATGATTGTCACAGTAGCTGGCACAAAGTAAGTGTGCAGTGAATGTTAGTTTGGGGTGTGTATAACAACTTTCTGTTTTATATGTGTATGACATAAATAAAATACAAAATATGAATGGATAAAAACAATTTAGGTTTTTATTTGGATTATGAAGAAAGTGAATTATTTGTCAAGATATTTTTAACGATTATCCTAATGCTTTGTTTCAAAAGTTCCCATAAAATTATTTTATTTCTTTTTATAACCATCACATAATCCACACACCTATTTAGAGATGAACTGTGGAAATGCAGTACCCACTTCCCTCCCTCATCAGCTAGTTTATATTTCCGTGATGTGGCTACAGAAAAGAAACTGTCACACACAGCATGAAGATCCAGCAGGTTTTGTTTTTCTCCAGGCAGGTTGACCTATGTGGCCATTCTATAAAGTTCTCTGGGAACGCTCAGTTCTGGGCAGGATTATGTTCCTTGTGTCCTTTCATGTTGCTGGTTCCCACCCAGCCAGATTTTGGTGCATATTTCAATGCATAGCATACTTTTGGCTTAGCAAACATAGCATATTTAGCCCTTTTGTTCAAATCTGATCCTCACCCAATGTAATTTTTTTTTTTATTTCGGCATATTATGGGGGTACAGATGAATTTAGGTTTTAGATGACTATACTGCTGCTTTGTTGTGAAACTTTCTTTAGGAAGTTATTTTTTTTTCCCTCCTTTTTATAGATCTAACATAAGGCCAGACTATGCTGACTCCAATTTCCATGACTTCAAGATGTACACCTTCACTCGAGTTACATCCTGCAAAGTCTGCCAGATGCTCCTGAGGTAAGCTTGCTCAGTCCTGGTTTTCAGTTTAAAGGAACTGATATAATTGCTAAGTGTTTCAGACTCTTCTAGCTGAAATGTTAAGTGGGGATATTGCCATAACAGTTCGGATCTGTCAGATCCTTGCTAAGCCTTCTGTCTGGACAGTCCCTTCGGAAGCTCCAGCAAGGTCCTCTTCCTCTACTGAGGTGTACTTTGAATAGCACTGTTGATACCTTTTCTTTCCCTAATGATTTCATATAGGTGGAACTAGCACATTTTAATACATCACTCTCTAATTTTACCTTTCAGAGGAACATTTTATCAAGGCTATTTATGTTTTAAGTGTGGCGCAAGAGCACACAAAGAATGTTTGGGAAGAGTAGACAATTGTGGAAGAGTTAATTCTGGTGGTAAGTCAAGTTTATTGTTGTGATTTTGTTTTTAATGAGGACATAAAATTTGCTGAACATAATTAAGGCCTAATTTACTCTTAATATGTGTTTATGGTAACGTATCTGCTTTTGGAACTATCATTTATAAGCACAATTAGAAAATTGCTTAACATTTGTGTGACTATTGTACATGACTTTGCTTTAAATTGTTTAAAATCCGTGTGACTTTTATCTGTACCTTGGAGGCAGAGGTCTTTCAAGAAGGACTCGGAGGGTTTCATGTCACATATTTCATTAACCCCAAGCCCTAAATATATCACTAAAACTGTACAAATATAGGCAAAACAAATAAGTGGAGTAGTGAAAACAAAACAGGAAGAATATATTCTTCACATCTGTCTTTAGTTCCTAAATTTCTTTTTGATTCTCTTAAATATTTGGCTCAGAAATACTAATGGTGCCAGATGTAAACATCACACAGACTAATTCATGAATTAATGAATCGAATACATTGTCATTTTTCAGCATTTAACAAAGAGCACATATCCTTTGTATTTTATGTAAATATTTTCCCTGTAGTTTTTAAAAATAATGCTCCATGATTGTTACATGAGCTGATTTCTAAGACTGTTGGCGATTATGCATTCCATAGCCTTTGGCCCTCTGTGCTCTTCTTGGGCTCTCTTCCTTCTCTTTCTTTTCTGGCCTCTTTATTCTTTCTCTTTCTTCTTTTTTCTCTTTGTCCTTTTCCCCTGAGTTTCTCTGTGTTTTTATCAATAAGACCTTTCAAAATCAGTAAAACTTTTGAACACAAGAAAGGATCTTTAACAGCTCGAGTTCAAAAGGTAGCCATGTCAACCTTTGATTTTCCCAAAGGAAAAGGTGGACATTGAATTATTTTGGATAATGTGAAGAAGAGTAAAAGAGAGAATAGTTTATTGCAGAGCTGAGTTCAGAAAATAGGCAATTGTAGAAAAGGTGAGTCCTGTTAGAGGATTGAGATCATAGCACATTCCTCTCACTTTGCTCCTTCAGTCGACATTTTTAAAGTCCCCCCCCACACACACACACCCCTGTGCCATGCTCTGTGCTAGGCTCGAGCAGCTGCAGGGAGAAAGATCCTGGCGTTAGTTGAGCACCTGCACGGTACCTGTCCTTCCTTGGCGCAACTCGAGGCATCTTTCTGCAGGTGCTGATTCAGTCTTCAGAACAGCCCTTTCCATTCACTGATTGGGGTCAGAGTGCCTGTGCAACTTGCTCAAAGCCTGTTAAATAAACTTACATCTGTCTGAAGGTCAGAAACAATTAACAAAGATGTAAAACGTAATAAAAATATAAATTCTTATTGTTAGTCTTTAATTGTCTCCCTGATACAATTTATCAGGGAGACAATTTAACATTTTGTTTAACTTTTTATTCTATCTTTATATATCCCATCTGTTGATCTCTTTGGGGACAATTAACATGTTATTTGCTCACGGTAGGCTAATGTTTTTATAAATCTCATGGCCCTGTCTTGGTGAGGTACAGCCTATGAAAAATATAAAGTGATCCCATAGTTGGTGCGGTGGTTGTGTTCTAAAGGGAATAGTGTAGGAGTTGTAGTTGAGAGTAAGCAGAGATGGTGGAAATCCTAGCTCTGCTATTTTCCAGCTACATGAGCTTGGGAAATTTGCTTAAACATTGTGAGCTTTTGTTTTTTAATCTTTAAAATTTAAATTCGAGAATTACTGTGAGGATCTGGTGAGATAATGTTGATGCTTACCACCATGCCCTGCCTGGGCACAAAAGAACTCACTAATGTAATCCAGGATGTTCTATAATGAGAAGTCAGTTTTTTTGAAAGACATGGCCTTTTCTGTATTTTTGTTGTTTTTATGGTCTGGTGTGCTTGTGGATAGAAAAATTAATGAGCACAAGTTTTGAGGTGTTATACAAGTATGACATTAAAAGGAATTACAAATTTAAACTTTTATGTTAAAAAAAGTCAATAGGAAACAACTGGGAGTCCCATCTAGACAAAGTATCATTCTCTCATCTTTGTTATACCTTTCATTATAAAGCAAGAAAGAAAACTTTTTTTTAAACTTCTAAGTTTGCTTTTTTGGAGTTTGAGCACATTTGCTTTGCTCGCTTAGTTCTCTGCTTTACATCCTTTGGCTGACCTCCATTCCCCTTCTGTTTTGTACATCTGTGCCCTTTCTTCCCATCTCTCTCTGTCTTTTTCTGCTCAAGATTTTGAAGAAACTAATGACACTGAATGCTCATAGTCAGTTAGTTAGTGGTATGAAATGGTGGGAACCTGCCTGGGAATCTTCTCTTTTTTGCCAGGATTTTCTGGGTGGCCCTTATAAAAAAAAGGGCCTCATCCTTTTATTTATAAAGGATGGGGAAAGAGGAATCTGTATTACAGCTGCTTACAGCTCCGTCAGCAGCCTTCTCTCCCCTACTCCCAAATAGGTGCCCTCTGAAAGTTGGAAGTCATGACATTCTCGTAAATTGCCCCTTCTTGCACTTGTATAGGTAGTAACCATGTGTAGAGCATGAGCATGTGTAGAGCTTGCTAGCTCTGATGTGAGTGTGGTAAAATAGGTACTATTTTGAGTTCACGGGCAAGGTAGACTCTGTGGACTGTTTCCCAGCCTGCCAAGAATCCCAACATTGGCTTAAGACTTGCACAGTTCTTTGTTTGGACATCCAGTAATAATTGCTTGCAGCAGTTCACCAATGTGGTGTTCCATGACTGGCATAGTGTTTGACGAATCGTGGGTGTGAGGGAGAGCAGGAGGGAAGGACAAGATATATCAGGGGCTGGAGACATAGTTCATTTGGATGGAGCTTTTTGTGTAGAGGAAAAGGTGATGTCATTTTCAGAAGACCTTGACTTTGAGGTAAATCATTCCAACAGCCAAATTTAAAGCAAGTGGGTATTATTGATTTAAGGCAAACTCAAATCTTTATATAATCCTAGTTCTCCCATAACATTAAATCATAGGTGATATGAGATTCAACCCTTCCTTACAGAGATTTATAGCAACAATGCTTAACATAGTCTAACTATTAATATATTCTCAAGAGACATTAAGAGATTCTGATTTGCTCAGTGTGAGTCAGGAGTCCACTTGTGGTCCAGAAAGCTGTGATCAGTAGGAATGGGGTAAGTTGTTATAAATGATGAATAGTTAGGGTGGAGGCAGTTCCAAAGAGGGGAGCATGCAAAGGTTGGTTAATGGATACGAAAGTACAGCTACATCGGAGGAATAATTTCTAGTGTTCTATGGCACTATAGGCTGACTATAATTAACAATTTATCATATAATTTCAAATAGAAGAGCAGATTTTGAGTGTTCCCAACACAAAGAAATGATAAATATTTGAAGTGATGGAAATTCTAGTTATCCTGTTTTAATTATTTCAAATATTAATTATGTATTGAAATATTGTATTGAAGTATTATGCTGTACCCCATGGATAGTATAATTATGTGTTACTTAGAAGTAATAAAGCAAAAAAAAATTTTTTAAAGGGAACACTTAAAAAAATGTTCATCTTCATTGAACGTCAGACATGTTTATAGAAAGGAGAGGTCAAGTCGAGAAGAGGCACTAATTGTACAGAATGACAGAGTAAGCCAGGAGCTAAATGAAGGCTAGAGAATCTTTCATTCTACCGTTTAATTGCCAGATCCACTGGTCATCACATCTCAGGCCTCATCTTACTTGACCTTTCTCTGTCATTTGACACTATTAGCTATTCTCCTTGACACTCTCCTTTACATCCCATCACACCCCCCGTACCGTCCTTTGGAGATGTGCTTGACTGCCCTGGCTTAGCTACAACTTACACCCCAGGTAGATAAGGGTCCATCTCATACAAGGCTTCCTTCCTGAAGTTGGATTTGAAATTTCCATTTTCTCCCCACATATCCCCTACTGGGTGCCTTGCAGTGACCTCAAATTTCACATAACCAAAACCAACCTCATTTGCCACGACCACAAACTTCTCTTTCCTATTCCTTGGCTTAGTCAAAGGTCCACCATTCAAACACTCACCCAGACCTGTGTGTCAGCCTTGATGACTCCCCCTTCCTCATCGCCATTCTCTTACCTGCTACTCTTAGCTCTCCTCTTAAGTCTCTCTAGACTCCACTGACAGAATATTGCTGTAGACAGAAAATCTCATTGCCTCTTGTTTGGACAGCTACAAAATTTCCTAACTTTCTGCTCCTTCTGTAAATTTATAATCGGTCTTTATTAAAATCAAACTTGATTACATTACTCCTTTGCTTGCTATACTTTCCATTTCTCAGAGAACGATGTCCACACTTCCCAGTGTGGCATACAAAGCTCTGGGTCACTTTTCCAGCCCGATTTTTACCACTCCTCCCCATCCCGCAACCCCAAACACAACTCTGTTTCACTACTCACAGTTCCCCAACCACTTTTTTTTCATTTCTATTTCTGTGCATCTAAATGTATTTTGTTTCTATTTTAATGTTTTTCCTTCCCTTGTCTGGTGAACTTGTAATCTTTTTAAAAAATACACATGTTGCCTCAACTTTGAAAACCTTTTCTGATACTCCCAGCACCTGGGCTTCCTTAGTCTGTCTGTCCTCTGTGCTCTCCTGGCACCTTATATTTACTTTTATCATAGCATTTATCACATTTATTATCATGGACTCCATGTCCAGTTCTTCAATCATACTGTAAGCCTCTCAATGATAAGAACCATACATCATTGACATTTTCATCTCAAGGAAGACATGGTGGATGGGTGAGTGAGTAGGTGACTCACAAACAGATGGACAGGTGAATGAGTAGAACTGCAGTGCACCAGGGCTTCTGGGTCCTGTTCCACCCTTGTAGAGAGTAGAGCTTGACTAGATGGTAGAAAAGTGAAATAAAAATTATATCTGAATCCCTGGCTGGTACTTCAAGAATGAAAGAAAGAAAACTAGGCAGACCTTTTACATTCCTTTCTAGTATTTATGCAAGGGAAGGCTCCTGCTCTAAGCATTG